TTTGCTAATTCAGGGAGTTAGATAAAATTGGACCTCGAGAAGTCAAAGTCATTTTAGATTCTGAACTTAGCTTTTTATAAATCTTGGATTAACACTTTTCTAAAGAGAGTGCTGCCGAAATTTTTACAAATCTAAGGACTTAGTTAAATTCTGTCTTAGTTGAACTCGGGTTTGCTCTGGGTTCATATCTGACTTAGTAAAACTATGGAAAATCTTCTTTTCTAAAGGGGGTGCTGCCCAAATTTTTACGAATTCAAGGAGTTAGACAAAATTTGACTTTCCAGAATTAAAGGTTGTTTTTTTGTTTTCATATTTGAGTTAGTATAAATTATGAGAAGGCACTTTTCCCACGGGAAGTGCTACCGAAATTTTCTTTTAAAGGAAATAAATTATATTTTGACAGGTGGCAATTTTGGCGATCCACTCTGCATAGGAGAGATTTTGCCAGGGTCTACCTTGCTTTGGACACTTGTTTAGCAGTAGATTTAAACTTAGTTAATTAGAACGATGTTTGAGTAACATCGTGATATCGAGGTTATTCTCCATAGACTTAAAGATTTAGCTTGGGGATTGGCATGTCCTGTGTTACAGGTCCTCTTGATTGTTTGATTCAAGAATTGGACTAGATTCAGTTTGATCCTACAAAGATCATCTTCTGTTATCACTGACAACACATCGGTTGCCGATTCATTGGTCTATGACTCAACTCCAATTCATCCTCAATACTCAACCTAAAAGGTTTTAGCCCTGGTGGTTTCTATTGTTTTATTAAGGTTTTCACCCAGACTTTTATTGAATGGTCATTTAACAAAGGTACTGAGTATTTAATTATGGAAGGTTGGACAAAGGTTGGGGCTTGCATGGCTAAAGCGGGGGGTATGAGTATAGAGAATGGTTGAAGTTGACCTCGTGTAGTGTGTGGCCTTTTGGTCGACTCTCTTATGTGATTGCAGGCATGTTCTGTTGTTTAGACTTTGGATTTGACTGCTTGCGATCTCATACATATATATGGCTGTGAGGAGTTCCACTTTGATTGTGAGAAGTGATCATCACATACTTATTCCCCACTATATATATACGTACATACCTATATTGGGTGTTCGCGTGGCCTAAGGAGCCCACGCTTAAGGGCGGGGTCGGGATTGAGAAAGGAAGGAAAATTCTCTCCCTTTACTGTTGTTTACTTCTTAAAGATTTCTTAGTCGGACGTTGGTCCTGGGCCTGGATTCGAGGTCCTTGTCCAGGACATCCCAGGTCCTAGACTCTGCATGGAAGGGATTACCCCCCGCGCAGAGCCCATTCGCCCTGCTTACTAGGACACTCTGCCTAAAGGCCAGAGATGCCACGGAGGCCACTCGACTGTTCCTTTAGCCGTGCAATATCGTGAAGGGGTTGACCTTCACGATACTTCGTGTCTGACACTTGAGTGTCATAAGCGGTACTCGGAGGGACCGCTCAATTACGGGCACTACACAGTACGCCATCATTACGACTGTCTGCGTATTCATGCATTGCTAGTCGATATGAGAAGGCCCTGCGTCCACGCGGTTTTATACTAAGTCTCGCACGCGATGCCTATTCGATTTCCGCATCAGAGACTTGTGGGATGGCTACTGAAGGAGCTAGGAGTGTGTCACATTGTTCATTCTGTGTCGTTTTGTATAAGTGTGTGTGCGTGCGTGTTTTAATTTTTATGTCTTTAGAGTGGTGTACGCGCGGTGTGTGGGATGTGTCCTAGTCGATCGACGACGGGTCGCGCTTGGGACCTCAGCCCCCCAAGGCGTCGGTTCGCGTGCGGGTCCGATAAAGGCGTAAAACCGCGCTTGCCCCCTATGCTACAGCGTACGAGAAACGCCCTCGGCTGGTCCACCTCTGCGATTGCAATTGATTAACTTTCGTACTGTGGACTGGTAGCTCCGCAGGGATACGCCCATTGAAGGGAGGTGACAGCTCCCGTAAGGTGGAGGTAAGTCGTGCCTCGCGTTGGCCCTATCCTATCGTAGGGGCTCGTGAGAGGTATGGCTGGCGCACTCGGCCGGAGCGGCTTGCGGAAGCTCCATGTGTATTCGTGACGAGGATCAGACCAACTCCTGCGTGACGCTGCCGGGAGGGTCCCGCCCCGTTTTGTGCAGTGTTGGATCAATGCGCTCGACAGCGGGCGTATCGAGATTGATGATAGCCCGACTTCAAGTCCAATTTGGAAAAGTACTTTGCGCTGCCCAAACACTCATAAAGATCGTCGATACGAGAAAGAGGCCCCACATTCTTGACAGTTTGGGCGTTGAGCTTGCCATGGTCAATGCACAAGTGAAGGCCCTTCTTCTTCTTCTGTATGAAGAGAACCGGCGCACCGTATGGTGAGCTACTAGGGCGGATCCAACCCTTATCCAAAAAGTCATCGAGTTGCGTGCGGAGAACCGCGAGCTCCTCCTCGCTCATGTGCTAGATGCAACCCTTTGGCGGCATGACACCGGCCTCAAGGATGATCTCATGGGAGATCGGCCGATCCGGCACCACACCAGTAGGAGACTCGAAGACGTTGGCGAACTCGTCAAGCAACCGCACCACGCGGGGGTCCAAAGACAAATCCGTAGATGAAGATTTGGTCACCGCGACGGTCTGAAGTAAACAAAGGTTGGTCTCGTCGGCCCGCTAGTAAGCACAAGTGGCCCTAAAAGACTTGGGCGTCACAACTTGGGACCGGATCGAAGGGTGCGGAGGAGGAATGGTACATGGGACTTCGGCACCAAAAGTGTCACGAACGGTAAGTGTCCGCCGATGGAAGTTGACCGTGTGGTCCGCCCTCGCGACCCCAGGCATCCCCAAAATGATGTCAAAGTCTGTGTCTAACACGTCAAACGTGACCGGCTCGCATCCATGTGGTGCGAAATAAATCAGCCACGACCTCGATATAGCGATCAAGAAGTTGTTGCGTCCGACCGTCCGCCATCTTGACCACCGTAGCATGCTTCAAACTTGTGTGCCAAGGTCGGCCCTTTGTATAAAGGACTAGCTCATAAAATTGTGAGTTGCATCACTATCCAGCAACGTGCTCCAGGACGCTTCCCCAACTTGGATGCAGACATAAAGGAGCAGCATTGTTGTCATCGTACCGCTGCGTGTGAAACTCGCGGGCAACCTTGGAGATATATGCAAGGAGGTCCCCCCCACGACTTCGTCATCCGTCGACAAAGTTGGTGCATAGAAGAACAAATACGTATGCAAATGGGCACATAGTGTCGTGCATTGCGGTCCCGGTAAGCAGCTCGTGGAAGGGAGAGGAAGCCACGCGAAGTCCTCGGACGGCAACGGGTCCAAAACCTACAAGATGAACTCGCGTGCCAAATCCCTTGAAGAACCACTTGAAGACGACGAAATGGCGCCGCTACTGGACGGAGAGGAAACCGCACACATACCTTGTCCTTGAGCTAGAGAACCCAGTGATGGGACGAGCCAGGCAGCAAAGTCCTTGAAAGGATGAAAAAGAGGACTTACGACTTCCGCATGTGCCTCGGAACTAAAGGAGGTTGCTCACGAAGCAACCGATTCCGAAGGCGTCGAGAGTGCAGCTGTATGACTCTCGGCGGTGCTCACTTTCCCGAATGGGGCTTCCCCTTGGCTTTCGTGGGACAGCTCACGGTGTCATGTGCGTCGCTGTTGCACCACAAACAATATCGGTACTTGGAGTGGATCTTGTAGACGCCCTCCGAGATACCATAATGGAGCCAAGGTTGTTGAGCTGCTGCTCCGGTCCTAGGGGATGAAGAGGTGTTTGTCTTCGATTTGCCGCGTCCTCGACCCTTGGCCGGGCGGCCACCATCCTGCGCGGTTGCTAACATATCTCCCTTGTCTGATGAAGCAGCCTCGTTGCTTGGACCGGTCGGCATTGTTGCTGCCACCACGGCCACTTTCAGCCGATGCTGATCTCTGCTCGGGTCTGCAGAAGACGAACGGCCAGCATTGCGGGCTTCGGTGTTCTTCATGATCATCTGCGAGGCCTTGTTGAAAAGTAACTTGTGGTGAGCGTCTCCGGGACCTGCTTCAACACATTTGCAACGTCGGGAATGACCTCGTAATGAAGTAGTGTTTGATTCCCATGAAGTTGATGGGTAGGTTGGGTGTGGATGCCAAGCGTTGGAGCTCGACGATTCAATCCATGCTCAGCAAGGAGTTCTGGTGGAACTTCTGCAGCCTTTCCATTGCTGGAGCTCGGGAAGGTTCCACTTGGAACCATGTGTGCCCTGCTGCCGTGACAAAACACAAAGGGTCCACTGGCCAACTGATCTTCGTGTGCAGCTTGGAGACGACGACCTTGTGCGTGGACAGGACGTTGTCAAGTCATGCTTGACACGCCCCTCAAAAATTATCAGCATTGCGGCAATCTTCTCTCTTCCACTCAAATTGGAGGGGGGAGTAAAAGCAAATACAAACAAAAAGAAGTTTTGAAAAACCAGCTGAGCATCCTGTCTTACCTTGCATTTCCAGGAGGGCGAGGGCGGGGGCGGGGGGGGGCGGGGGGGGAGATTTCAATGGTCATACAAAAGTCACTCCCCCTTCACAAAAGAAAAGGAAATGAGCCCAAAACCGGAACACATGGGAACATCTCAGCATCCTCATCTACATGTACTACCAAGACTGGATTCCCCACCCTCAACCTTTACACTTCATCAGGTCCTCTCTCTTTGAAAATGCTGTTTTCCTCCTGCCAGCTGAACACAAATATGACGGTTGATATAGTCATTTTAACATCTATTGCCCCTCCTTTCCGGCACCAGCCTATGCAAACTTGCGACAGCCGGCCCCCTCTCTGATTCATCTGCAGGCATGTTCTCCCTACACCTCGACCAAGAGCCAAACCAACCACCCACCTGCCCTCCCATAATCTGTTGGACTTGAACCATGTACGTACCGGAGTGTATGGCTGTAATAATATACAAGAGCCATGATGCATAGTGAATAACTAGACAAGTGACTCTGTTGGACTTGAACCATGTACGTACCGGAGTGTATTGCTGTGGCTTGCACACGTGCGCAGCCCAATCCCTCTTGAAGTTGCAATCACTGACATTGACCATCACTCCCTGTTTCTCACTGCTGCTTCGAGCTTCTATATCACTGCCGAGGATCAGCCCACCAGGCATGCCAGTCACCGAACCATCAGCATCACGTATAAGAATCTGGAGAAGTCCATCACAGTCCATGTCTCCACAATCGTCAACAACTCTCCAACCAGGGTCTGGAGGATTCAGGAATACCTTGCTCTCCTCTGCAACATTTGAATACCGGATGCCAGTCCATTCGTGGTAAGGAGTTGCGTCTGGTGACACTGGTGATGTGGCAAATGCTGCATGGAACACTCCACATGGGTTCCTCCTTTGTGGGAAGTTTACGAAGGTCACATTCATGAGGAATACCCTCCCCCTTGCTGGGTATCCATGTACCTGCACATCAAACAATCAAGTCAAAGCAACCCACCAACCAGTCCAAGTTTCATCAGATGGTTAAAAATCGGTGCTTGGTGTGTTTATATCTCTGGATCCTGGAAAGCGGACCAATAATATGAGATGCAGATATGGACCCGTATTCCTGAAAGTTGTTTGTGAAGTGCCGCATCTGATCTTTCATGGAACATCAGGGATCATGTAGACTGAGATGGAAAGAACGACTCTTTAAATGGCCGATCAAAAAAACTCCTATGCAAACGAAGTTATTCCTTGCCAGGATAGAAAAGCCAGGATCGTTAACATGGGCAAATAAGTTTTGCAGTGTTCTTTGTGCTTCGCTTGGTTTCAATCCAATCATTATCACTTGAGCAGAGCACGTCACTGCTGTGAAAGATTGACGTGTAATGATCTGCAAAATCACTTACTGAGAACTCTGCTGATATCTGAGTTTTGCCGCTGGAATGCGTGACTTGCTGAGATTCCCGCTTTCTGCTG